TCTAACATTCAAAACTGTTTTGATACTCCTACATTTCATTTTCAGTATTATTTATCTAGAATATAGACGAACAATATAATCTATTTTTTGCAATGATAAAACAAAACAATGCGAAAATATTGAGAATCATATCATTTGTTAAAATATTTGAAAACAGAAGAATTAGAATTCCATTATATGACGATACTTTTAGTCATTTGTAAAGTTTATTATTATGGAGTCACGATTAAAATATACATCACGTATACAAATTTTTAGATTTTTTATTTATTTAAAACTGAAAATAAATAATATATGATCATTATTTATGAGAACCAATTTCTTACAGAGTCCATATATTTAAACGCTAGCAACAAAAAAGTAGTAATTTTAAAAGACTTTTTGTTTGTAAATATTGGTATTCACACTTTTTTAAGAAAATTAGCATGTTTTTTTTTTCTCATTGCATTACTATTATATTATTTGTTTCTTATTCTATAGATAAATAATATTTTATTTGCTAAGTAACTAAAGCACATTTATACATATTATGTTATTTTTTGTATGTGTTTTATATAATGATGGTATCAAATTATCTTATTTATTAGGCTACAATTAACATAATCACATAAGATTAAATGTAATTTAATATATTTGATAAAATGGTACTTTTTATACGAATTATTAGATTAAAAAGTTTTAGAATTTTTTTCAATGTTTGATAAAATATTAATTAACTAAGTCATTTTCATAATCACTGAATACATATATGGTACCACCTGATATAGCCATACTATCGTGCAACGGTTCAGTAACCGCGGCATTGTCACAATCGGCTCATAGCGGCTCATATCATCATGGTTCGGAACTGCCAAAGTCGATTACAATACAGTCGACTCCGCCGGTAGGGTTTCATGGTATTCAATCAAGAAGCCCGGCTCTCGACCGAGTCGACATATATCCGTCGACGGGAACGAGTCGACCTACCCCGACAGCGATCAGACGAATCAGGGTCCACTAATGATGAAATGCGATCCAGTCGACTCGGTTCAATACCTCAAGTCGACTGAAGGAGTCTTGCAGTTCGAGGTGCCCGATAGCTTTGACACACCTCCGCACATTGAAGGAAAGTTAAGGATAAGAAGGAAGCTAAGGAAGGATCTAGATGCTGACTAGGAAGTGGACAGAATATGAACCGACCGGGGCATTCTGGACATTTCCATTGAGTCGGCCAGGGTATTTTGGGGACTTCAGGTAAATATTGCACTCCTATATAAAGGACTGAGGTAAGCCCAAAACCCTAACGCCCATTCATTCCATACATTTCTATTACTGCTGCTGCTCTCATAGCAGCCCCCATCATCTCTCTCACATACTGACTTGAGCGTCGGAGGCTCTACGCCGGAAAAACCCTCTGGCGTTGAGTTCTTGCAGGTGTTCGTGCGATTCAGCAACGGCTCGAAGGTCATCAGGCCAGATCTAAGCTCATTCATACCGGTTCATTCCAGATCCGGACGTTTTCTTACCAAACCGTTCCAGATCTGAAAGCAGACCCATCACCACCATTATAGGGTTCATTTTGCAGCAGTATTGACTTCTCATAGCTAATGTTATTTCATTTCCTTTCTCTGGCCTAACCTTTCATTTTATCTATGACTCACATTGCTTCGCTTCGTTTGTACCCTAAGGTGCATTTGCCATAGTTTCAGCATTACGACAAACTCGTGTCAAACATATATCGGATTTGGGCGCTCTAACCAAAACGTGGGAACAGTTAGAAGTTTACGCCAATTTTTTTACTTTTTTTTAATATGAATTGTTTCAAATTTATGTATGGAAAACATACCACAAGTTTATCTTATTTTATTTTATACTTAATAAAATTGATTTAACTATATTTGTATATCC